ATGTGTGTGTGTGCGCGCGCGTTAAGCGAAGGCCATGTCCGACAGACTGTACGGATGACTTTTGAAAAGGTAAACAGGCAAAGACGATTCGCTACTCACCGTTTCTCGCCGGCGATTCCAGCCGCTCCCACACGATTTCCCGGCGTGCCTCGACGATTACTTGATTTTGCACAGCAACATTATTGTACGTCCAGTAAAAAAAAAACAAAGAGAGAGAGAAAAAGGAAGAGCGAAAGGGGAAAAGGCACACGAGGAGGGAGAGATTAGCGAGAAAAAGAGAGAAAGAAGTTAGAGCGAGGGAGTGTGAGAGAGAGAGAGAGATGGAGGGAAGAAGAAGACACACACCGAGAACGCTCGTTTGATCAAAAGCACGATTTTCGTGACGTCATCGGCGGTCGGGCATGCGCGAATGGTTTTCGGTGATTTTCCACGCACGGCGAAACACGTGCGACGAGTCGGTCGACGCCACTAATCCGTTCACGCACTCGGCACTACATATCGCTAAGAAACGCGCGGCATTATCGTCGCGTCCTAACGGCGGCACAGCGAGCTTAAACAGGTACCGTGCGCGATTCGCGAGGGCCACCGCGGCTGCCGACATCTAACTCCCATCCACTCCCACTTGTTAAGTGACGTACACTGACGTCATCGATAGTTTACCTTGAAGCCGCGTGACATTGAGTCGCAGGCCGGCCAATCGCTGCGCCGGAAAATCCCCTTCGCGCTCGGCCCGATTTTCATCGCGAGCGACAAATCACGTGTCGAGGGTCGATCTGAAAATCAGTTTCGAATTAGCGAGAGCTTACATCCCAGATAGCGCAAGCTATATTGAAAAAGAATTCATTTGTATGTCATCAATTTCGAGTACCTTTTACAAAATTTTTGTAAAATGAATTCTATATGTATTTGAAAAGGAACTCGAAATTGGTGACGTACATCTGGGATGTTACATATATTGAGAAAATAATTAAAAGCCGATGGAAGGTTATGTAAAAAGAGATTACAAGAACAGAAAAATATTATTAAGAAGAAAAATAACATCGCATTTATTTGTATTAAATTGAAATGCAGAATAAAATAACACATGCCATGATAAAGTAAAGATATTATGTACAAAATTATATATGTACATGTACATTAAAGAATATTATACATATACATTACATGTACATTAAAAATAATTTAATAAACATATATTATATAATTAGAGATATATATACGTAATATTTTTTTACTCACTTTTATTTTTTTCTCTTTTGTATTCTTACTTATTTAAATTTTTAATCCCGTACGCCGTACACTAATGACAAAACACGTATAACTGACTATTTATTCCAAATTCCAATGCTGAAAACATCTAATATTTTACTATATTCTTATATGTCAGCTTCTAGGGAAAAAATTTTTACTATGATCGCGCAGTGAGTTTTCATGAGGATTTAACTTGTTAATAACATGGAGGACATGGCATGTATCATGGGTGCATGAATTTATAAATAAAAAATACAGTGTACCAAAATATGAAATAAGTCGCTTGAAAAACGGTAAGGATTGTGTAAAATTTTATTGTAAAAATTAGGACAGTGTAAAAAAAAATGGCACATTTAATTGAAAGTTCAGATGTATACTAGATAATTCTAGAGAGTTGAAAGTATCCTAAAAAAAATTAAATTACATATTGTTTCCGATTAGTTTTATTATTTATTGTTGTATTTTCATTGCTTAATTGGCTACCAGCTAATTGCATTTAATTTGTATTATATATTTAATCAAATTTTTCATATTTATATATGACTAAAATGTTCAAATATGAATAATTGCAATACATAAAAATTATTTTAAAGATTATAATGACTGACGTTGCGGAAACATTGACACCTAGCGTCGTGGAGAATGAGAAGGATCCATATGCGTATCTTGAAAGGGATTTCACATCTGAGAAGTACAAGATAGAAATACGTGGTTTACCTAAATATTATGGAATCGGTGAATTTAAGAAACTTCTAAATGAAAAGCTGGACTTACAATCATGTAAGGTAAAGCCACCTAGGAAGGGCAGTGGTTGGTTATATGTATGTTTTAGAAATGAGGAGTGTCGTCAACGAGCAATAACTACTATAAATGGAATTTTATGGAAAAATAGTAGGCTTACTGCACAGGTATTTTTATTCTTTCATTAGAAGCAGTTTCTTGTGCAAACTTAAATAATGATATACTGTTTTAGCTATAATTAATATTTCTTCAATAGGTGGCTAAACCAGCTCCAGATCCATTTGTGAAAAAAAAATTAGAAGAAGAGACTAGCAACAAACGACTGAAGACTGATGATGAAGATATAAATTGTTCTCCTATGGACAAAATCAAATTTATTACTACTCCTGGAACAAGCCATATTCGAGTCAAGTAAAGAATTTTATTTGGATTTTTAATGGAAAATATTAAGTCTTTACTATATTTATTTATATATACAATATATTTTTTTTATTACGTATATATATATATATATATATATATATATATGTATTTATTATATATATATATATATGTATATTTATTAATTATGTAAATATATGTCTTTTTTAGTTAGAATTCAAGCAGAAGGAAATGAAATCTATTCTGATGAAACTTGGCCAACAAATGCTTAAAGAATGTAAAGCAATGACAAATTGGATAAATTCACAAAAAACATTATATGATGGATTACCTTGTAAACTAGAGAACATACTTTCGGCAGATATTACTGAAGCATACAGAAATAAATGCGAGTTTACAATTGGTAATATTACATCTTTATATAGAATTAAATTATACAAAGATGAAGATTTTGTCACGTTCAATTTCTTTTTACGATACAGGTAAAGACAGCGAGCAAAACAAAATTATAATTGGGTTTAGATTATCAAGTTATGCTTCAGGTTCTACAGCAGTTGCACCTATTGATAATCTTTGTCACATTCCTGAATGTATGAAGACTGCTGTAAAGGTAAACTTCTATCATTGATTTTTTTCAGACATTGCAATATTGACCTAAAATCTAAAATTCCTCTACATAAATATGTTTATACTTTTAGATACTAGAAACATTTATACACGAGTCAAACTTAGAACCTTTTAATCCAGTTTGCCATAGTGGATACTGGAGACAAGTTACCGCTCGAACTACTCGTGCCAATCATTTGATGTTAATAGTAGGAATACATCCTCAGGACTTAAGCAGCGACGAATTGGAGAAATTAAAATCACAATTGCGAATATTCTTTGAAAGTGGAAAAGGTGTTGATGCTAATGTCACTTCGTTGTATTTTCAAACGATAGACAGAAAGTAGGTATATATAATATTGAATGAACAAAAGGAGTAATATATTTTTATTTGTGTAATATTTAAATTTGCAGAAATGTAGGCGGTGAAAGTAGCGACACTTTATATCATGTTAGCGGTACGAAGTACATAGAAGAAACGCTACTTGGAATGAAATTCCGAGTCTCGCCTCAGGCATTTTTTCAAGTCAATCCATCGGGAGCTGAAGTACTGTATAAGGCTGCAATCGATCTTGCCGAACCAACGATGGATACGGCACTACTTGATGTATGTTGCGGCACTGGAACTATAGGTCTCTGCTTTTCGAAGGTATTAATCATGATTACATAATTTTCTGAAGTTATATAACATACACACACACACACACACACATACATCATAAACATAGCGTTCGTTGTTGCAGCATTGTGGTGAAGTATTAGGAATAGAAATTATTCCCGATGCTATAAAGGATGCGAAAGAAAATGTGATCACAAATGGTATTACGAATTGCGAATTTTTTGTCGGAAAGGCAGAAGACATTTTATCACCAGTCATTCAGAGGGCGACGAAATCCAATATCACTGCCATTGTGGATCCACCACGAGCTGGCTTACGTAAGTTATGCATTTATCATTATAAATAATTTACAATATCTCTTACAATATTATAGAAATGTTGGAGAGAGCTTACCTGCGACGTTGATTTTTTCTCTAGATCAAAAGGCTTTATTGGCATTGCGCAAGGCAAAAAAGTTGAGTAGATTGGTGTACATATCGTGTGATCCTCGTGCTGCCATGAGAAATGTAGTTGACTTAGCACGACCTAGTTCGAAGCAATACATCGGCGAACCCTTCGTACCGGTAAAGGCCATTGCGGTAGACATGTTTCCTCACACTAAACATTGTGAATTAATATTGTGCCTTGAAAGGTTATCGAACGCGATGAAGTTGAACGAATGTAGCAATCAAAAAAGTATAGAATAAAAAAACATTTCAATATTTCATCAATTTTTTTGTATACTTTTTTCATATTTTATATTGATTATGTATATTTAGAATGTGCTTTTTTTAAGAGCATATACATAGAGAATTATTAGAAGAAATTTTATCAGCCATTTATGCCAATAAAAATTTTGTTTTTTAAATGAAAAATCATCGATAATAATTTGTTGCCGGGTTTTCGACCAAGTTTATTTAATTATAGCTTATTTAAATAATTATTTATTTTTTAAATATGTTAATAACAATTATAAATATATATATATCATTTAAATAAATTTTTAAATATTCTTTTTTATATGCGGATTATTTAATATATTTGAATAAAATTTTTCACTTAAATGACTATAATAAAAGAACATTTAAATATAATTTAGCATGGAAATAGACGTATCGTGTCATAAAAAGATTCAGATAATTATATAATAGTTTTAAAAGAAAAAAAGGAATTAATATGTATGTTATATCATTCTAACAATAAGTATTTTTGCAGCATTTCAACTCTTATGGCATTTATGTTAATAATGATTCTCTTGTTCTATATATATATTTTTCTTCGGCGTAATGATTAATGTTCTTCGTTGCGTTTCAATTTCGTAGCGTTACATAATCATAAAAAAACCAATGATGTGAAAATTTGTCTACTTCAATTTTTAAACTTCACGAAATAAAACATTCGTTTTATATCAGCAATAAAACGATATTATGAAAATCGTATATTTTTTTAATACGCTCATCGAATAACATTAAAGATAGAAAATAGTATATAGGACATAAAAAGTAAGGATGCCATCTAAAAGAGTAATCCATTTGCATAAAGCAGAACTCAAGGAAATCTGCATAAGATTTAGGTTTATACCCAACTATTTCATTTTAGTTGATATGCTTGAAGAGGGTCATTTAATAGGGATATAGACCTTCATTCATTTACTTTATAAGCTAGAGAAGAAGTAAATATATGCATAGATAATGTTTCCCTACGTATGTCGCTTGTGTGATCCGATAGAGGAGACGGGACGGCGATAGTCGCTGAAGAGGAAGGACAAAGATATTTGTTTGGCGCGCCGGAAGAAGAGAATCGTTGACTCGACATTCGACAAATACGAGTAACTGCGCAAATTTGTGCTACTGTACATTCTTGATCTTCACTTAATTACTTGACACTCTAGCCGGGGAAAGCACTGCTACAATCTCGTTGTCGTGTTGCTGCAGCTATAAGTCGAGGAAATGATACGAAACGGCGCACTCTCGGTCTTCGGAATTGAGGAGAACTGACGGCGGCATGGTCATTATCACTTCCTCTTGAAGCACGTAACGGCATTGAAGTAACAGCGCCAATAAACTTGACCTTTGGCTTGTCCGCGTCGTTGTAAATCCATCTAGAAAAAACCGAGGAGGATGATTATAGGACGTGCGCGTGTTATGTAAGAAACAATCGCATTAAAAAAAATTCTCTTATACAAATAAATTATCGTATGAGTAAACTTCTTGCAAGGATTGCTGATGAAGGTTTTGTATCCAGATTTATATTATATTTGACACAATTAAATATCTTTTTTATTAAAAAAACTTATTACAAAACTTTCCTGAAGATATGTAATACTGTTTTCGCAGCAATAAATATGATATATATATTATTATCGGAAAGAATCCTTAAAATGTAAATCTGGATATAAGAACCTCCCGAATAGGACTATATTAAAAAGTTAAATTAATACCGAATTCACTACCGTTTGGTCATCCGCAATTTCCGTGTTAGCTATAAATCGAGGAGCCGACACCTTGGTGCCTCTGCTCATGCCTCTGCTCATGCCTCTGCTTTCTCCAACCGTGCTTTTTCCCTGATTATCAACGACCTTCTGTAGAGCTACCATCAATTGATCCAATAATAGGGCCGCCCTCTTTGGCACTACTACCTGTAAAGAAATTTAAATTAGAAGGAAATTAGGAATATATAGAATGTTTTCTAGTTTGCACGCGCGATCGAATACTGTCATTAAAATGCGTATTTTTCTTTTTATGTCAGAAATATATATGGTCTAACTTAAAACAAAGATAATTTTTTATACATATTTTTTTATATAAGTATATAGTAATATCGATAATATCTATATGTGGATATCGATAGGATTTCACGTATAATTTGATCGCCCATCAATGTTCTATATGCTTCGCACGTGTAATATAATAATTTTACAAATTATATAATGCCATTTAATTAATTTGATGCTCAAACGTGCTTTCATAAAGAAACCCTTAATTAAAGTTCATTTTTGTGCATATACCTTATGCAATATATAAAGAATGCAAAATTGCAGTTTTCGACGAATATGTTGATAAAGTATCCTGAAGTAACACAAAACAGTGGATTAGTAGATTGTGGATTTATTTTCATCATATTATTTTAATTGAATTATTTTAATTGATAAATATGTTACATTGATTACTAGTTTAGAGATTTAAATAAAAGTTGTAACTTAAATAGAGAAAATTTTATCGTATAGTTACTCATCTGTCTAAAAAATATTTATTCACTTCTTCGTGAAATTCTCTTATATTTTTCTTACTTACTTTAACTATAATAAATCTAATTTTAAATAATGCATCTTTTTCATCATTATCCACTAAGTAACAAATGAATAACTGCATTGTAGAAAGTTAATTAGAACATATCGAAGCTTTAGTGTGCTAGTCGGGTAAGGAAGCGCGACGTTCTTGGAACCAAAGAGTAGAAAATATAGAGGAATCGAACCGTATCTGTTCGTCGTGATGAAAGGGACAGTTTTTCTGTCTTGGAATTTAACAGTAGGCGAAAGATAAATCGACGATAAAAATAATGAGCGCTCAAGAGAATCCAGACGAGATTAAAGATACGCCCCGATGCTCTTGGCTTTTTAGGTACAAGGTAAGAGAATAATCAGAGCGTGAAAGAGTCGATTACGAATTTTAGTATCTATCTTAGAGAGATATAAAATAGTCATTATCAAAATCATGTCATAATCGAGATTATAACAGCAATAAGAAAGAAAGAGAATTGAATCAATTCTTTTAAAATAAAAAAAATTTTTAAGGAAACAACGGATAAGCGTTATACATTAAAAAAATAAAATATTTTTGTATATTACATAATAATCCAATATAATAATCATTTTCGATATTTCTGAGATAAAACCGGGATAACCCCCTATGTGATGACCGAAAGGGTAGGGCCGAGATAGGAAGGGTGCGGCAGCCAGTGATAGATATTGTCCCACCATCCTAATTAGCAAAATAATATAGTGAAGAAGCAATGTGCAAATTCCCCTTTGCACAATTCTTTTAATGATATTTAAAATTTTTAAATTTACATTTTAAAAAAAATTCAAAATTTTATCAATATCAATTCTTGAACGACATTTTCGATATTTCGAAATTTACAAAAGTTAAAACATATACAGATCTTGCTTAATGAAATAGAATGGTGAGGAAGCAATGTGTTCTGTGATGAAACTATTTTTAAAATAAGAAATTTAATTTAATTATTGCATATATTTTATATTCCTGTAAAATTTTTATAATTTATATCATTTGAATCATAGAAATGTAGATATTAATTAATTAAAATTTCTGAAAATATATTCTTAATATATTAAATATCAATCATGAAAAACGAAAAAATAACAAAAAAAGTATATCGATGGAAATTATTGACGATTTTAATTGTTTTCGCAACTCAGCATTTTATGTCTCGGCAGTGTATTTCTTTGGTTTCCATTACTGGCTTGACATTTGACATCGCCGTTTCCGTCGAAAACGAATCCGTATAGGCATGTCAGATATTATTCTCAATACTACACAATCACGTTTTCTTATAAATTTTTTTTTGTAAACTCTTACAGACTCGCTTTCTTTCCGTATTGACATTTCTATGCCCTACCTTACGATCCCTTTTTTGTTTGCATCGTCTTTCTTTTGCAACGGATAGATTTTATCCTTCAAATCGACTATTTCATCTTTTTTCTCGTGAAAAATTCCTTCTATTATAATAAGTCACTCTTTTCCCTTGCTTTATTCGATATCTTTTCGCTAATATCACATTATGAATATATATAACATCAAATTTTTTATATGGATGCAATATTATATTTTCTTCATAGATTTTGCAAATAACATTTTACATTTACATCAATTACTTATCTGATATTAAAATGCGTTTGCTTCGTTTTCACAAATGCCTCAAACGGGCAATGTAGTTAATATTTCGATAAATTATGTATTACGTGTATCAGATTGATATAAATCAATTGACATGCATGATCAATTAGCATGCTTGATTATATCTTTTTGTAACCAGATTACAATGATAATTTTTCGATTATCGTAACAACATATTTAGGTGAAGAGTCAATCTGATTATCCATATTATTGCTTCAGGCTATCTGAAACTTCTGAGACGACACAGACTTAGTTAACTCATTTATTATCACGTATAGGTCATCTATTAATTAAGCAATTTTGAGACGGCAAGCCAAATAATATATTTCATTTACAATATCAATCTTTTTTTTATAGTTTTTTATAGTTTTTAAATGTCAAATTTTAATACGTCAAATCAACTCTTTAAATTGAATGAAAGATAGATGAAAGGGAAGGTCGAGAAACCTGGAAGAAAACTATCTTGATTATTTATACACGCATATAATGTAGCCTTTAAATATTCATGCTTCGTTCTCGTAAATATAAGCCATGTCGCGCAAACATTGAGATTGCCATATCGGAATCTGTTTGCTCCACACATTATTTGTCGAAGTAAACAAACAATCAATACTGCGTAATACATTACATCCTAGTTACCCTTTCTAGTTTATTCATTTTGGTCGATTTCCCAAAGGACACCGGACACTTCTTTTCTTTCATTACCTACGCGACGTTTTCTAGAAAGCGCACCCACGCAACTGGGATTTAGGTCCAATGCGGAGATTAAAGTTGTAAGAGAACGGCTTTGCGAGAAGACGTAAATCGTTTACTCGATGTAAGATGTATCCTAATATACCTCTCTTCGCGTGCGCAAAGCAACATTCTGCATTCAAATAGCGCTCATTCATTTCTTGCCGATGTACACACACGTTTAAATCACGCAATGAAACTTTTTACGATATTCTTTCGATAAAAGAATTTGGCTTCCTCGTAAAGCTTCCACGCTTTATTATATGTATATACGAGTGTGCGATGAATGAAAGCCCCCTGAATTTAGTTTAATTTCGAGGAAAAGATTTGAATTAATATTTGATGATCGTAATAATGAACTTTAATAATGAGCTTTAAGATTGAATGAGAACAAATGAGTTATTTCTTAATTCATGAATATTAATTTACAAATGAATTTGAAGACAATTAGCTGGCCGTAAATTAATGCCAAATCTGGTAGTTAACATTTCTTTTTTTATAATTTTGATAATGACAATTTAACAACTTGTAACTTTTCTACATATTATTTTTTTCACATTTTTATATGCATTTATTATATGGAAAAAAATTGTATAAAAAGATATAATAAAAAATATTAAGAACAATCTCTTAGAAGAAATCACACAAGCTTTGCCGAGAGAGAAAAACAAACAAACATATTTGATCAAAAGAATAATGAATAATGAGAAGTTTTCTATATCAAAGAACGTCCCACAAAATTGCTCCGATAGTATTGTAGTTGGAATTCCGATAAATTGTAACATTTTATTTAACTTTATTGCATATTAAAAATTCCTACACAGCCTACGAGAAAATAAAAAAATCCTCTCTCATGAATCAGATTTTTTAAAAATCAATTTAGTAATTAATTTGTCGGAAAAATTAAGATTATAAAAATGATTTTATATAATTATGCAGAATATTTTCCACATTTCCATGAAATGTCTTCTTGGTAATATCTCGAACATTAATCTGATTGCGATTTTTTATAGCTCTAACTTGATTAGACTATTGCGAAGTATTAGATGACCAAGATTTTTATATGATGTTACTTTAATTTCGATGTCAGTAAAATAAATATATATATTTATTTTTAAAAATGTATAAATACGTACAATTTATATTAAAAACGTAATTATGAATGTTCTGTTTCTCAAACTGTTATGCTGGGCTTGAAGTAGTCTTGAAATTATTCCAATCAACGAAGTGACTTGACAAAATAATTTTTAGCGAAGAAAAACACTTCGATAGCGACTCGTTTGTGAGACGAAAACGGAAGAAAAAGACAAATGGAAACGATACCGGACTCGGCAATCAACCGCGTTTAATTGCGACATTCACGGGCGCTTAAAAGCGTTATCGGCGGTTGCGAACTTTATTATTATTGTCACGCATACTAGATAAATGTTGAATTAAAAGGAAAAGTGATAATTCTGTCCACGGACAGAAATATCACCGCGCGTTTTTTAACTTTTTGCATAACACGTTCGCGATTTACTCACAGAGACTAGATCTACGTAGGTGCGCATTCGACATTGTTTCAATGTATATTTCATAAAACTACGAAAGAGTTATCAAGTGAGTTGATTTGTTCATTCGCGAGGACAATGCAGCTTTATACAGTTGGCCTCTATTTTTTCAACATTGAACGAGAGGGAGAGAAGAAAGAGAGAAAAATACGAAACTTATAAAATAACAACTTCGCGCGGATTCGATTAATTTTTAAATTCTTAAAAGCACATATATCAAAATTATCGTATGCATCACAGATACATTATATATATGTATATATATAAATAATGTATCGGTAATGCATGATGATTTTTGAAATGTTATTCTATGTGAAAGTACTAAATTCATTTTTACATGGCGCGTAATTCTTGAATTTGAAAAATTAATCTGATAAATCATCTGGTTTGAAATGTGCAGATTTGAAGAGCGAGAGACATTTAAAATAAATTGCAAATTC